GCTGGTGCTGCTGCAGCAGCAGCAGGCTTCTTTCGATGTCCTGGAAGCCTTGAAAACTGCTGCTGCTGCTGTTGCTGCTTTCTTGCTGCCGCATAAACAGATCTTGTTGCTGCGCTTGGTCGAGTTGCTCCTGAATCTGCTGCTGCAGCTGTTGGTGGAGTTGCTGCTGCAGTTGCTGTTGCAGCTGCTGCTGCAGCTGCTGTTGCAGTTGCTGCTGCAGCTGCTGCTGCAGCTGCTGCTGCAGCTGCTGCTGCAGCTGCTGCTGCAGCTGCTGCGCAGCATTGCTTTCTGCCACGCGCAAACCATAAGCCTGGCTGCTGCTGGGGGCCCCCTGAGCCTGAGATGAATAGCCATAGCGGCGGGACCTGCCTTGTTGCTGCTGCAGCTGCTGCTGCTGCAGTTGCTGCTGCTGCAGTTGCTGCTGCTGCACCTGTTGCTGCTGCAGTTGCTGCAGCTGCCTGCCGGTAGCATAGGGAGAACTGGACTGTTTGAAGAGCGGCAGTTCTTGCTGCTGTCTTTGCTGCAGCAGGAGTTGCTGCTGCTGCTGCTGCAGGCGCGTAGGTCTAGGCTCGAGGTTGAGTTGCTGCAGCTGGCTGGTGATACTTGCTGCTGCTGCTGCTGCTGCAGCGTCTGCTGCTGCATTGTAATCTGCCTTCCTAGTGGCACTTGAGGCGAGGGGTAGCTGCAGCAGCGGCTGCTGCTGCTGCTGCTGCTGCTGCTGCTGCTGCTGCTGCTGCTGGGTCTCCCAGCCGCCTGTGATGGCAATTGCCTGCAGGACTGCCAGCAGCGCCTCGTTTGACATTTGCGGCATTTGCTGCAGATCGTGCTGTTGCTGCTGCTGCTGCAGCAGCAGGTTCTCTTCTTCCTGCTGCTGCTGCTGCTGCTGCTGCTGCTGCTGCTGCGGGGGCAAGCTGTTGGCTAGCCTCAAGGCAAGGTCCAGAGTCAGCTGCAGCTGCGAGAGAGTCATGTCTACAGCTTGGGGCCCCAGCAGCTGCACAGCGAGGGGCATTACATCTTCTTCTTCCAGCTGCTGCAGGATTTGCTGCTGCTGCTGCTGCTGCTGCTGCTGCTGCTGCTGCTGTTCCAGCAGCAGG